AAGAGTGTTTTCTAATAAATAAGAAACTAAATCTAAATAACTCCCCCATCCAATTCTAAAAGTAACAATAACCAACACTAATTCCTAAAAATGAAACCCATACCAGAGAACATTGTTCACTGTTTCCCTTGATTCCCCAATCCATTCGGCGGGCTCTCAAACAACTGCTTCCTCAACACATCATGCAAATTCTCAAACAACTCCTTCTTCAACGAATCAAACGCTGCATCCAACCTGTCTAGCAACTCCGTCGCATTCTTATTATACATAAACAACCCCTTGTAGAGCTCGAAGCTATCCTTACAAGTATTAGCCTTCAACTGCCTCAAAACCTCGTACCCTTTCGTATTAATCGGGGTATCTTTCAAGTCCAACAAAGCCAACATTCTCCCCACAGTATGCGTCAAGAACTGGGTCTCAACCGCATTCTCATCATGCTCTTCGCAGCTCATCTCCACCATTCTACACCCCTCATCCTCGAAAATCCTAAGAAATTTCTCGCACCGCTCAATCCTTGACGGGGTTTCCCCAACCCGAACCTTATCAAACACAAAAGGCAACCCAGCCCACCCATTCTTCCCCGACTCCGGCCCAAACATGGGGTGGGTACAGAGCACATCGAAATGCGGAGGGAGATGCTGCAAGAAGAGATTTTTAGGGAACTCTTTGACCGATAGGACGTCGGCGAAGAGGGTATTGCGGCGGAGGGACTGAAGGGGTACGGACCGGAGCACGTCGGCGAAGGAGAGGATGGAGGTGGAGAGCAGGACGACGTCGGGGTGCTGCTCGCAGAGATCGTGGGGATCCTGGAAGAAGGAGACGTTGAGGGTTTTGGCGACGGAAGAATAGTCAGAGCGAGAGTGGGCGAGGAGAGTGTGGCCTTGGGAGGTTAGGGTTTGGGCGAGGAACTGGCCGAAGTTGCCGAAGCCGATGATGGCGATCTTGAGCTTGGATTGGGAGGAGAGGGAGGAGGGCCGAAGTTGCCGAAGCCGATGATGGCGATCTTGAGCTTGGATTGGGAGGAGAGGGAGGAGGAGGCGACGGATTCGAAGTCGAAGTGTTGGGCGGCGTCCAGGGAGACAATTGGGCGGTGTCCGCGGCGGTGGTGGCGGCGGTGGACGGAGATTTGGGGGATGGGGCGGGAAAGGAGCATTTTTTTTTAATTTTTTTGAAGGGTTAGGGCTGAGTTGTGTTTTGAAGATGAGTCTGCGTCGGGGAAAAAAAGAAAGAAAATGAGCGCTGATAAGCGTACTACATTTTCCAACCTACTTTTTTAGGGGTGTTTGGTTCAATTTCTTCTAATAAAAAAAGAAAGAAAATAGCACTTAAATGCCTTATAGTTTTCACTCCCTCCTATTTTCGTAGCATCTATACACCTTGAGTTCTTTGAAATTTGCATGTTAATGCCCCCTGTTTCTGTAAACACGAAAATTTTTATCTGAAAGTTCCTATATAATATTCATACGCTAATTTTATAACTTTTATCTATTAAGTTTGTTGAATTGGGTGTTAAATATTTCCAATTTATATTTTTAAAATAAAAATTAGGATATATTTAAATTAGAATTTGTGTAGGTTTAGTAGTAGTAACTTAACAAATATTAATAGTTAAAAAGCTCTAAACTTAACATATGAATGTTATATTCGAACTTTCGAATGAAAATTTTCACGTTTACATAATAGAGGGTATTAATGTGTCAACTTTGAACAACTCAGAGGATATAAATGTTATAAAATACAACGGAGGATATGTTAAGTGCTAAATGACTGAAACTATAATGTATGTAATTGTTGTTCAGCCTTAAAATTAAAAGAGCCATTGAAACATCCATTGTTTATACTTTCATCAACAGTAATCATCTTACGCACAATTTATTCCTCTGAAATCACCAATTCAGATGTGCTAAAATGCTGACCGCTTCTAAATGTATAAATGATATATTCTCCCCATGAATACCAATTTATTGATATATTCTCCCCATGAAAATTTTTCACCCCTCTCATTTAATACGCTAAAAATCCTATTAAAACCCCGCACCGTGCAGGGTTCTGGGGATCACACATAGGGACAGTGAAAATGACCACAAGACCTCCTGTTTTGCACTTTGTGTGGCCGAGAACCTCCCATGCAGTGTGGGAAATTCTAATATGATCAGAGCTCCATTTAATATTGGTAAAATTCATCGGGGTAAATCAGCAGATTTTGAGAGCATTTCCTAATACGCTAAGGGGAAAGTACTTCATCTTTTAAAGTTAAACAATGCGAGGGGTAAATTAGATTTCTAAATAGGTTTGATTTTGAGGTATACAAGCAAAAGAGTTTTTAATTTTTTTTTATTATATTGTAATTTACCAAAAAAAAACGGAGAATATTTCACCTGAAGAAATTTTCTAAACAAACCTATTCATAATTTTTTTTCTAAAAATAGACCCCCTTGAGTTCTATTTACAAAAATAGATCCATTTTGTCTTAATCTGATTTCTAAATAGTCGGGATTGTCAACACCGACTATTTAGTGCATAGAATGTTAGAGTTTAGGGTTATAATTGGGAGTATACATCCTCCTAAATAGTCAGGGTTGGCAACCCCGACCATTTAGGAACCAGATTAAGATAAAATAGGTCTATTTTTGTAAATAAAACTCAAGGGGGGCTATTTTTAGAGAAAAAAATATAAACGGGTTTATTTAGAAAATTTCTTCTATTTCACCTTCACCAAGGTAAAATTCCAGTTCTTTCATAGCGTCTCACATCTCCGCACCTCGTTCACATCCAACTAAAGGCCCCCATCATCATCATCATCATCATCAATCTCATCGGCGCCAACAAATAACAATCCTCGAAACAACTCTCTCTCTCTCTCTCTCTCTCTCTCTTCCCCTTTATAATCTTCACCCCTCCTCAAAACTCGAAGAGAGAGAAAGAAGAGAGAGAGAGAGAGAGAATAATGGGTAACGCTTCATCGACGCTGACCCAATACGACATCGAAGATGTCCAAGAGCACTGCCACTACCTCTGTAATCACTCTTCTCATGAACACCCATGATTTCAATTTTCACCCCAATTTCCTCTCTTTTGGTTTTGGTTTTGGTTTTGGTTTTGGTTTTGATTTGTTTCTACAGTTTCCCAGCAAGAGATCGTGTCCCTCTATAAGAGATTCCTTCAGCTTGATCGCAACGCGAAAGGGTTCATCTCGGCCGATGAGTTCCTCTCGATCCCCGAGTTCTCTCTCAATCCCCTGTCTCAGGTACTCCCATCCCCGTTTCGAATCTAGGGCGCTGAGATTTGATGCTGGGGGGGGGGGGGGGGGGGGGGGGGGCGGAAAAGCTGGATTTTGATCGTGAAAGTTTCGATCTTTTGTTTTGTTTATTCCCTGGCAGAGGTTGCTTAAAGAATGGTGGATGGTTGAACTTTAAGGATTTTGTGGCGTTTCTTTCTGGCCTTCAGTCCCAAGGCGTCTCTAGAGCAGAAGATAGAGTGTTAAGAGTCTTAACGACCCCTTTTCTTTCTTTCGGCCCCCGGCGCCCCCCCCGCGCGCTTATTTTATGATTATTTGGAAATTTAAATGGGCTTGAATTGTCTCTTAATTTCCCCTGGATGATTGGTGTTTCTTCAACACTTTGAACTGTATCCAACAAAAAATGACCGGTAACTTATTTCATCAGATAGTTATCGTTGGATTGATGAAGATAGGTGTTCTTGTTAATGTTTTGCTGCCTTTTGGTACTCGCCATATTTTGATGATAGTTGTTGCATGCCATTTATTTTATATTTACTATGTCTACTTTGTACTTTGTACTTGTTTTTTTATGTACTAAGTCTACGTAGTAGGTTTGGTGTAGTCGAAATGAATTTAAGATGGTATGAGAGCCACTCAGGTTCAATTCCGACCTGCCACAAATTTAGGGCAGATTTACCACATGAGTCTAGACGCTTAACCTGCTGGGCATATTATTAGAACATAGAAGTACAGCCCTCAACCATCACTATAACTTCTTCTGAAACAATATAATTTGTATAATTTTCAAAGTTGTTAAAAGAGTGTCTCATAATCGTTCATTTAAGGTGCTGCGGGTATGACTTGGCAAAAGCATGACACGTGATTTAGGCCCACATTAGAAAAATAGTTAGATGAACGTATAATTAAATATGCTTGGGCTTATACTCAAGGTTGATCAATCCTTTTGAGTAACCAAGTTGATTAGCCTAATCTATCTTAGTTCATGGGCATTTGGAGCCCAGCAAAAGTTATTCTGATTCTTCCCTCTTGTTGAGTTTACACACATTGAAGTTTTCTGGAATCAATTTGTACTCTGCAGATGAATTATCTCTGCTTGTTAAATGTTTTTCTTCTTTGGAACCTGTTTGCCAAACTTGTTTGTTGTTATGACCAGTTTTGTATTGGTTATGTTTGCAGTAATCTTTAAAGTTTATGACACTGAGAGTAAAGGGAAGGTGGGCTTCAAGGACTTGCTGGAGGTGCTTCGGGATTTGACAGGGTCCTTCATGTCCGAAAAGCAGAGAGAGGTATCTTTTTACCTCCCCTTCCCTGCTCCCCCAACAAAAAAAAAAACCAAAAAAAATTATTTGGTTGATTTTCCTGCTTTCGCTATGTACATTATGAAACAATTGCTGGCTATTTTCTATTAATAAATAAGAACATAGTTATATTATCTTTAGTAGAAACCATCAATAACAAGAAAAATTCTGAATTTTTTTGTGATCTTAAAGAAAGATAGAAAGTGGTCATAAATAGGTTAACCTATCCAGCTGTTTATAAACTAGGTCAGATTTGGTTTGGTCCCATGCCATTTTCTCTGGATTTATTTGATTTGGTTTCCTTTCTATATGTTTGTAACTTAACTTCTAGTTATCTGCTTTTATAAAAGAAGGAAATTCTTGCAGTTTCTTGCTAGAAATCATCAATAACAAGAGAAAACGCCGAAAACTTTAGCAAAGAACACCCTTTGTTTGATATCACATAGATCCTGTTTGGAGTCCATTCTTGGTATTGGTTTGTGAAATTTAACTAAAATAAATTTTTAACGAGAATACCGAAATAGACAAACTGGAGAAAAGATTGACATAATTTTCCCTAAACATGTTGCTATAAATGTTATAGCGTGCAGTGTGTTAGAAATGTATAATTTTAATTGATTTAATGCCTTCAGAAAAATTGGATTCAGCAACTGTATTCAAACTTAACTATTGGTGTGAAACACATTCAAAGACTGAAGTGATGGCTCTATTGCACACTTCAGCAAAAGTATTGTCGATCTGATATAATATCTCATAACGAAGCATGCAGTTTAATTGTCCTGACCAGAACTCACAAATCTGAACGTGTATAACATAATGACAATGGCAGAATAGGAATTAAAAAAAGGATACATTTATAAGATGTACTTGCTATGCAATCACCAACCATTAGAAATACCCACAATGATTAACAAATTCCCATGCTGATTACTTGCCTAAATTTCCTTTACCTTCTCTACATTGTTAATGGATCATTAGTCAGTATCCTGATAAAACTTTGCAATCGCTGGTCCAGCTTTCTACATTATTAATACAAATGGTAAGGAGCATTGTCATTCTTATTTAAGCAAAGTTTCTTTTCCATTGGTTCTGCATGCTTTTTTTAATAAATCCTAGACAGTTCAATTTCCGGAAAGATGTCAATGCTTAATCTCTCATCTTTTGATTTAAATATATAACCATCCCATTTCTAGTATCAATTCATTTCCAGATGTGTATGGTCACTGTCATCTGTGTGGTCCTACATGTACTAAGTATGTTGATAAATGTCAATATAAGGGTACCGTGGTCCTAAATTAAATGAAACCATCCTAATTTATTGTTTCCTTCTCTAATATTTCGCAGCAAGTTTTGGGCCATCTATTGGAGGAGGCTGGCTACACAAGGGATTGTTCACTTTCCTTGGATGATTTCGTCAAGGTACACAGCTAGTTGAATGAATTTCTTATTTGTCGTTGAGTAGGATAGCAGATTAATGTTGAAGAACTAGAGTATATTTACATTTAATATACACATCAACTACAGAGTATAGAAGATGTAGAAATTGATGTGTTCCATTATTCCAGGTTATACTTGTTTGTTTCTTCTGCATTTACTGATATTTGGAACACTATCAAGAATTAGCTATAAAGATTCCTTGTGATTGCTTGGAAATAACTGTTGTCATTTAACTTTCAGATGCAAGTTAGATCTCACATCTCTTAGGAGTTTGTTAAAAGATTGATAAACTTACAGAAACTAGATGGTTCATGCATGTATGTTATATGATATAATATGCCTTTCAAGAGGTGCATGCATATGTTTGAGTACTAATGCATCTGAAAGTACAATGAATTTAAATTACAATTAGTGAAGCCACGTAATAAATTTGGTAATTGCACGTTATAGATTCTATTATTCGAAATGAAAAACAAAGTAAATTTCCATATTAAATTGTTAGCGGGTAACCCATGATTCATGTTACAATGTACCTAACGAAATGTTTCCACTTTACAATAGCAAGTTTGTTTTAGTAATTCCATCGTAGATATCTTTCAAATTAAGGTCGCATTCATGTTGCTGATTTATACTTTGTATTACTAATTGTCCATCACTTTTTCAGATACTCGGCAAATCTGAAATCAAAATGGAGGTTGAGGTTCCAGTGGACTAGATGTGCCTTTCATCTTGTGTAAATTGTAGAAAAGCTCTCAAGCAGAAAAGAAGAATAGCAAGCAGTCTATCTGTAATCTACAACAATAAGAAAACAGAAATATCCTTTCTTTTTCTTATTTTCTTTTTGATGATAAACCTTATTGTGGCTTATAAAAAACAATTTTATCAAATAGCTGTTTCCTGTTTTTGTTAACTGTACATTCTGGTATTCATTCAATGAATGTTGTGTTCTCTCTGTGCTAAAAGATAAAAAGAGTCGTGCTGCTGAAATTTTCTGCTAAACTTTCAGTGGGATTCATTCTTGAACAATTTTTGTTGCATTTTGTTAAAAGCAGCACATTCGTAAAATCATCCTTGAACAATTCCGACTGCCAATTTTAGGTTTCCAATAGAGGGGTGTTAGGGGCACACCCTTGGGCACACCACCAACCACACCCCCCTCTATCTACAGTGCAGGGGCCCCACATGTGATTTTTTTTAAAAAATCACATGTGGGGCCCCTGCACTGTAGATAGAGGGGGGGTGTGGTTGGTGGTGTGTCCAAGGGTGTGCCCCTATCATTTCTTTTTCCAATATGCCTCTCACTATCTTCCAATTGTGGATAGACAGTCTGAGTGAATTCTTTTTTGACTCTTTTGCCCTGAGGCGGTCCATTTGTCACAATAAAATAAAAATAAAAAAAAATAAAATAATTCATCTTATCCTAGGGTACTCCGGGTTTTTCTACAACAACAGAAGTACTGGGGTCTAGCAACAAGTGGGCGGTAGTACAAGGGGTCAATCAGCAATTGACCGTAAATTTTACAATACTAAAATAATTGTCATCTGACCATGATCATGTATATATTCCTTGCATTATCTCGAATCTTTGAATAAACCGGATACATAAAATTCTATTAATACACAAATATTTTCACAACAAATTCATAAGCTCTTGGAATAAAATCTTATACTTCCTTTCCCGATTCATTTTTTATCACAATTATGAATTATAAATCACGATGATATCAACCTTTCAATATCCTTATCAGAGGATGGACTACTTCGCAGTCCATCCACAAATGACATGTAGGAAACACAACGAAATCGAACCAAACTCAATCCCTAAACACAAGCAGGTGCATCAAAATACGGAACATGCACATACACAATGGAATATGGATCGACCTTTATAGGCTCCGAAGCATCAACCTTAATAGGTTCAAATTCCGGAATATCACCATCATGATCAACGGCCAAGATTTTACCATTCAGTAGCATTGTTTGACTGTGCAAGTTACCATTTGGTGATGTGAGGTGATACTCTTCCCTGATGAATCCACTGGTTTTGCGAGTTCTTGGTATATGGCTAAACTTTGTTCTTGAAGCTTTAGTGTTGTACTGCTTTAAAGATCTAATGAAGGCAGATTTGCTGGTTACAATCACTTCGGTTGTCGTGCTGCCATCAAGATTGATCAAGAGAAGTGTGATTCCTTGCTGGATTTGAAAAAAAGGAGTTAATGTAAAGACTAAAGAAATAGAAGCCTAAATAAAATATAAAAGTGATTAGCTTACTGATTCTTTTGCACAATGTGCATATGCGCGTATTTTGTTTGTCCCGTTGAAAGTTGTGGATAGAACATTTCTTCCCATTAGCCGATGCCATAAGAGGGCACTGCACCAAGAGAAATGAACGTTAAAGGCAGATCAAATATTGGATTTGGATTTTGTTAAGATAGGGAATTTTGTCAACTATTGGTAGCTAATTGTAACAAATCCTGTACTTTTCGTTTGACAATGAAGGGGCATCCAAATTTAATGAAGAGTCCACCGTACAATATTTCAGTAAAAATTGGTGCATAGTAAATTTCCTACACTACGGGTTGAGTTGGAAGTAGCATTCCGTAGTTTATCCATGTTTTTATACACTGTTTCATAGAGCGTCTTCTCATGTATAATCATTTTAGGGTTAATTGCACATACACCCACTTAGTACCGTTGTTTCGAACTTACTACCTCCGAAGTTTTATTTTGCCAAATAGACCCCCCAGGTGAAATGTTTTGACCTTTTTACCCTCTGATAGACTCACTAATTTCACTAGCGGCAATGTCTGGGTAAAAGAGTCAAATAATTTTACCCACGGGGTAATCTGTGAAAATGAAATTACAAGGGTAGTAAGCTCAAAACAGCGATATGGCAGGGGGTCCACGTGCAATTCACATATGTGCAGATAACCCACCAATTTATATCTGCTCTTTAGGTTCTTAATTTACCCATTTATTCACCTCAATGATTACATGTTCTAATTTTCATCACGCTTCTATTTTGAAACTTGGGTTTGTTATCGCTGTAACTAAAATGAATGGAATAAACCTCGACTGCTTGAGATATTTGATTCATGGTGCAATAGAATCTATTGGTAAGGGGGAAAAAATATATCATTAAGTAAACATTACCTATAATAGTCAGGATTTGGTTCAAACGTGGTAGTATTCAGTAGCCCGTAATTTCCACCAATCAAGCTCTGTCTACAATAAGTCTTCGTACCATAAGTTGCTGACATACCAAGCTGATCCAAATACCTGAAATTAACCAAATTCTAATAAAAACCTAAACCCGTTTTCTGAAAAGACTGATACTAAATGAGTTCAAATCACAGTACCAAAAACTGAAAACAAATGCATTAGTAACGAGATTATGCCCACTATTATAAGCCCCTCCAGATTCACCAACCCAAGCAGTGGCCTGAGTCTCTGAACTCTTGAGAATTCCTTGGAGATCTCTGAATGTTGGCTCCATGCCATCAAGGACTTTTGGGTCAAGAATTTTCTCAACCAAATGTTGATCAACACCTACATATCAAAAGAAATGTTATAATATGACCTTGAAACCTTGCGGATTCTTGAACTATAGAAGACAAATACCTGGACCAAGGTTATATATGTGGTGGGTAATTACATCAAGTGAGTTGGGTTCTGTTTTCTTGATGAGCTCGCCAAACCATTTTGCATCAAAGAACCCCCCCGGTGCAAGGATCAATGGCTTATCTGGGAAATCTCGGTATATTTTGTCTACAATTGATTTTAGAGAGATGACATCTGCAGCATATTGATCTGCTCCAATTCTAGCTCCAACCCCACTTCCGCTTAGTTCATTTCCTGATGATAAAAAAAAAATGTTTGTCAGTTTATATGTAACCCCATCATCTTTTTCAGTTGCAAGAGACTTTTCTTCCGATATGGAAAGCCTCTTTCACATATCAATAGACAATTTGAATGAGAAGAAATTTATCATCATATTTTGTTTTTTACACCTAGCATTTGAATCCCTAACAGCCATCTCTTAGAAAACCAAAATTGACCAAAGTCCTTGACTTACTTATATACCAGCACATATGCGCATAAACCGCAATTCTTTATAACTTTTCGCTGTAATTTTTGACAAAAAACAGATGTGTGCTATGCAATATATGCATCTGGAGGGACTAATAGAAACCAGAGAGCCCCTTGAATCATGGATAAAGTTTCTTCATAAAAAAGATTTTTGCAGCAGAATTATAGGGAATGTAAATGACACCCGAGTTTCAGTGCTAAAAGAAGGGAAGTAGATGAGTAAAAATTTTCAGATTTCATTACTATGTTTTCCTATCTCAATGTCACATTTTTCTAACTATAAATAATTGTTTTTGGCATGCAGTAAGAAAGCATGATCTTCAGATTTCATGATTTATAAACCAAGCAGCCACAAAAAAGTTGGTTTTGGTATTTCGTAATATTCAAACTGTAAAGAAACAAATGCATGAAACATGATATTATATTAGAGACACGTAAATAGGATGCAAATCATACCTAGCTCCCAACCATGAATTGTATAGCCCTTGTCAACAGTATAACGAATTAAGGCAGCTGCGTTGGTGGAATTCCAAGGTCCTCCTAATGAACCATCTTTTAAGGGAACTCTTCCATTAAGGGCATTCAGCCCAAAAATAATTACTGCCCTGAGGTTTAAAATCAAGAAGTAAGATAAATAAATCTATGAAAAAGAATTTTACAAAGTACACATTAGTCAATTAAACTTGGTTCATACTGTATGCTGCAATAAGCATAAAAGGCAAATTTGAAAGCTTAAAGCACCTAATCATAGGCAAGAACAGGATATTTTAACAAATACTGGTATGTAGCTATAGAGAGATGGATTAATCTATATAAGAAGCTCAGCGAAATTTTAGTACCCGGATTTTTTGAAGAAATTATTAAGCTCATCCCATCTTTTCATGGGCAAGCAGCCTTGACTAAATCCAAACATCTCAGAAGTGTTTTTGACAAATTGACGGCATGGTTCTCCAGGGTCGCCAGTGTCATATATGACCTTATCTTGTAAGCTACCTCCTATACGAATTTTTAATGGGGAGAATGCTGCAAGGGAAATTTCAAATGTGATATTTAGATAATTAATCATGTAAACATGCCGCGTGAATGAAGTTTCTTTAATCTACGGATTGCATACCTTTTATTGCATTCAAAAGAATGGGGTTGGAAAGATCCTGCAGAAAGAAAAATATGAAATGCCTGTGTCAATCACTTTACTAAGTATATTGAGATTGTATATTTGAACTAATTAAATGCTAAGCATTGATATTGAGAAATGCAACATGAAACATAAGGAAGTTGGTCACATCAGAACCAAGTCCAATATTATTCATATCAGTAAGAATCGGCTCACATTTGTGGGGCAAAAGTCCTTTGCTCTAGACAGTCAAGAAATCTTTGAAAAAGCCAATTTATGAATAAAAAAGGAATAAAGATAGTGGTAAAATGACAATCAAATTTCTATGAGGTATAAACTCTAAGCTAAAATTTCACTACGGACCAAAAGCCAACAAATACAAATGACACCTGTCAAAGCTCAGATTCCGAACTCCAAAGTATTTTCTTGTTTACTTTTTACTTAAAGATAGCTAGTGATTCTTAAAAGGTCAAATTAGATAAAATGTGGCCTCAGCCTTCCTTATTACGCAGAAAATTCAATCTTTTTACTGTTTGCCAAGAAATCGTGTGACCTTCAAAAACATTGATGTATAATCAGATAGGAAATCAAATCAACAAATCATTTTTAGACTAATTTCTATTAGATGACCAAAGTCTAAACCTACCTCAATCAAAAAGTTCATATTCAAATTCTTTAATTCCACGGTCCATAGCAGATCTAATCATGAAAACAATGTCAAAAATGTCTTCACACCCCTTCAGTTTTAAGTGTGAGACTCTATCTCATTAGCTATTAAGTTGGCTTTGGATTAGGTTTGAATGACTCCCAGCCAAGGTGGAGTTTTGCTAGGAGTTCGTCGAATCCATTTGATTTAAATGTGGGTTCGCCTACAAAGGCGTAAGGTGGAATATAGTCGTAAATTGGAAATTTTATTAGATGGATAGATAATTAAATATGGTTTGACAGGACTCAAATAGATAAGGGACTTGGTAACTCTATAAGAGAAAGGGTCTACATCTTGAGACATGTTTTAACGAAAAACTAAGTGCTTAAAGAATATTGCCATATCAGAAAGAAAGAAACGATGAACTGTACAATCCCCCCCCCCCCTTTTTCGTTCGTGTTCCGGCTTTCTTTTTCTGCAACAAAATCAGATTCCGCAGAAAAGCACTAATTTCAAAAAGAACGTTTGACGGATTTGAGTAACTCGAGTAAAATAAAAAACCTCAGCGATTTACATACCAAGCTATAAACTTTTCAGACACATGAAACACAAGCCCCGCGGGTTTCTTTTCCTTACCTTTTTTTTTTTTTTGGGGGGGGGGGGGCGGGCGGATCTAATTACGGTGAAAGAATACTTCCATAGCATAATGATCAAATTGGCAATAAAAATAGCAGACGTTTTGAGGAACTCCAGAGTGTGTGTGAAGTCATCTCCATGCTAATTAACCTCAACAAGAAAACAAGGGAAAATCTCAAAATGCATAAACAAATCAATAAGCCCTATCATCAATGCTAAGAAAAACAACAAGTCATAAGAGGAAAAATCAAATGCTAATTTCCATGACAACTCACACTAATGCCCCCAACATCAAAAACCCATATCCCACTCTTAAACACGCACCTTCACCAATTAATCCCACATCTATCATCCCAAAAATCACCACAAACTCCCCATGCAAACATCCATAACAATAAAACATAGGTAAGATCTTTACCCTGTCAACCATATAATTCATCTTACCATATTGTCCAGAATAGAATCCAGAATATGAATCTAGCACCCAAGAAAAAAAATAAAAATAAAAAAAAACAAAATCATTTTCGAAGCACATTAACTCCAAACAATCAAATCCTAAATTACATTGCATCTCCAACAATCAAACACCAATAGCACCAAACCCATCAACCCCATCTCCCCAAATCGCAACCAAATCTCAAAAAGAAGAAAAAAAACACAGCCATCATCAATGCCATCAAAAACCCACATAAAAAATCCAAAATTTTTGAGATTAAAAGACTCACCAAGTTAAGGATAGAAGCTAGCCCCCAGCTACAAGTCCCATAGTCACATTTCTCAGGTGGCCACCAATCCAAAGTAGCGCACACAAAGTCCTCATCAGCCACTGCAATGGGGAACTTCCCATTGACCACAGCAGCGCCTCGGATCGCCTCAGCATCTTTGAGAGAGAAAACTTTGCCAAAAGTAGGTAAAAGGAAGAAAACCCAGAAGAGAGAAAGAGCCATTGAAGAGGGGGGGGCAAAAAAAAAGAGAGAAAGGTGAGAGCTTTAAGGGTGATGAGGGGGCTGTTTATAAAGCGGAGGAGTTGGGAGAAGCTTTGGAGCAGAGCGAGGGAACGGAGAGGAGAGTCGGCTCTATGAGCAGGAGGTGACCACACTCCAGTATTCACCAATCATTTGGTTTTTTTAGAGCCTAGATTTTATGGACTGTGATTAGGTATTTTTAGTTTATTTTTTTACTAAATTTTTTTCCTCGATTATTCTTTCATAATTTTTGTTCACTTTGATTAAGTATTTTTTGTTTATTTTCTTACTAAAATTTGTTCTTCGATTACTATTATTTATTTTTGACGTTTGTTTGAATAGGCTACACTCAATTTAAATCTTTATGTTGATAGTTGAATTGTTAGGAGATAAATATAATATAAAGTCAATTTAAATTTTTATTTCATTTGGATCGTCATGAAACCGAGCTTGACCTAAGGAAATATAGTGTTATGAAAGTAAAAACACTTGAAAATATAACATTATAAAAGGAAGATGAATAATAAAGCCAACGAGCCAAGATGATTGATTTAAAGTAGGCTAAAATGACAGAAAATAAAAATTATTTATGAAAATCCTTTCTAAAAGTTCCTAATTTTACTTAAAAATAGAACTCTTCTATAACAATTCACAAAACATTATCTTTTGTTGCTTCTATTTTATTTTTTATTGAGTCGAGATCAATCATAACAATTCACAAAACATTATCTTTTGTTGCTTCTATTTTATTTTTTATTGAGTCGAGATCAATCCTTCTTCATCTTTATCTTTATCTTTTGTTGCTTCTATTTTATTTTTTATTGAGTCGAGATCAATCCTTCTTCATCTTTATCTTTTTTCTGGGCAATTCTAGAGTAGTGTCTTTATCGTCTATATCGATTGTTATACGAGACTAGAGCATGTTATCTTTCATTGGGTTCATTCATCTTTTGTCTTCTCATCTAAATTCACAAAGAAGTTTAATATGTTTCTTATGTTCAACACAAACTTCTGACAATACGGACTTTGATTTTTTCCTATTTCAATAAGAATAAATGTTAATTTCATATATATATAAAAATTTTTGTGCTTTTAATTTATTACTTAAATAAGGTTAGGAGATACCTATTTTTTCTCTGCATTGAATTATTTTGTTGTACATTCAATAAGAATTTTTGTTGTGTCATAATGTTACATTTGCTCTGTTGTGTTATTTTCCATGAGGATTTGAACTAAATACATTATTTTTTCATTATCAATTTTCTTTAGATTATAATATTAATATTTAATTTTGATATATTTATTTCATGAAGAAGGGATATTACTTAACATTAGTACTACATCATCGGCGATTCTATAATATTTATCATCTGGACACTTATTATTAATAACTCTATCCACTTTCTTGTTGCAGCCTTTGCAAACAAAAAATCACTGCTCAACTCTATTATAAATGGTAGTTATCGTTGCCTTAAAGGTGTGATAGTGTATCTGTATATTGGTAAATTATTGTTATGTTTAATTGTATGAATTTTAGAGTAGGTTTTCTAAGATCATACCTCTTTCGAATGTTATAATTATTGTATATATTAGTAATTTGAATTTCTGATGCATTTATAAAGAGCCTTAATGGATATGCTTTTGTCATGGAAGCTTACTCTAAAAGAGCGTTGCATATTAGCTTTAAAATATAATATTTTTTATTTACGATGTTATATGGATGTTTGCTTGGTTTACTTACTATTCTCTTATTTCTTTTGTATCTTTAGATTGATATATATTATTGATGCAATTTTAAGATGACACGCATACCTTCTTTATAAATTTGAGACAGATATAAGGTGAATTTTATATTTAGTGGTCTTTAATAAGAATTTTAGTAATGAAATATACTACCTTCATATTTAGAGATCTTGAATTCTAATAGTGCTATTACATCATTATCTTTGATCGTGTCTTTAAGAATTGATCCTTCGTTAGTAGTAATACCCATAAATAAAGTCACACTCAGGATCGTGATACTATATAAGAAAAAGAAAAAGAGTGATTTCACAGTTTTTGCTTACGCAGAATCATGACATAGTAATTTTTCTTTTATCTTCCATGAAGAATGTTTCTTTGATTAGAACAAAGTTGTTCAATATATTCTTCAGGGGGTATTCAGTCAGTGTTTCTTTGATAAATATAACTTATGTTAGTGTTAATTGAAGTGATTCATGGACGTTTCGAATTCCATTTGAAATAAAAACTGTTTGATTCTTTTGAAGGATGTCTCTAAATTTTCTAATAGTTCTCCATACATAAATCTTTATAATTTTTTACCCTATAAATATTATTACCATTAGATATCAATATTTATAAATTATAATCAATTAACGTTAAGCAATTATATTATAGTCTTTTATTAGTTTTTTGTGATTTAGTCTTCTATCAATTAATGATACTTATGTATTTTTACTACTCTAACATATTGGTAAAATTATATGCAATTACTTTAATTTATACAATAACATTAATTTTTAGTCTATCATATATTTTTTAAAAGTTTTATTCTTTAACTAGATATTTTTAATCTGTTATTATTACTATTTTTTACCAATATCAACTTAACTATTTTCAGATTCTGAAAAGGGATAATAAACCTTAAATTATAAGTTATATTTATATATCTTAATGAAAGAATATCACACAATTACTCTTTTCTTTGCCAAGTTCTAAATTTTCAGCTTTTTGTGTAATTTTAAACTTTTGAGAGAATTTAATCTAATTTTTAAAACTTTTTATTTTTTTGTAATACTTCATGTAATAAATTGATACTCCGGAGCTGTTTCATATATTTTATTAATTTTATTTAAATTGTTGAGGTATAGATAGTTCATGGGGTATTAAGATATGATATAAGTATGATTAGGATAGATTATAATTTAAATTAAATATTTAAAATAGTACAATGTAATTTTGACTATGGAAAGCTTTTCCCGAACTCGTGCTTTTAAAGGGAGTATGATTTTTATTTTCCTTAATTTTTTTTTTAAATTTTGAGAATGACTTTTGTCTCTTTAATTTATTTGGTGGATTTTGTAAATATCTCATCCACATTATGTACATTTGTAGGTCTACGTTGTTCCTGAATTCAACCTTTGGGGTAGACATTATTTGTCTCATTAATTTATTTAGTTTTTACATATACGCCCTTTATTTTGTAGACATTTGTAAATTTGGTATTTAATAATTTTATTTAGATTTACATTTTAATTTAAACTGTATCATTATCTTCATACTATGTATATCCAATAAGAACTCATCAATTTATCAACTTACTCTTACTTAATGGATCATAATATTTGAATTCCAATGGTATTTTTGTCTACCAAAAGATTTTTCCGAACTCGTGCTTTTAAAGGGAGTATGATTTTGCAATTTGAATATAACCGGCTCTTCCATAATGGATGTTTTGTAGGATGCCAATTTTTTGGGGTAAATTTCACAGGAACACCTTGAACTTTGGGGTGTTTCCTGCAAACAACCCTGAACATTTTTCCTTACGAAACCCCGGTGGATGTCTCACAAAACTCTCATGAATTTTCAGTTCCTTCGGAGATTTTGCAATTTGCGTATAGCCTCATCTTCAATAATCGATTGGGTTTTTTCGGATATTAGTCTCCAAATATTTCGTGCTCTAAAATTGGTGCCCTAAATCTTCATATTTTGAAATTGGTTTCCTAAATTTTTAAGTGTTTTGAAATTAGTCCTCCAGATCTTTTAAGTATTTTAGAATTGGTCCCCTATATCTTTCAACCTGGCGCTAATCAGAGGAGCTAAATTCAAAACACTTAAAAGCTTTCGGAGACTAATTTTTATTAGGGCTTTTTGTTTTTAGGTCAATTTGATTACCTAGCTTTATTTTTAAACCCAAGAATTATTAGGTGTATCTTTAAACCCAACTTTCTTTTTGTATTTATCTTTAAACCCAATTCCAAAATATAATACTCTCATATGTGGGTCCCCCTATATAAGGAAATTGGGTTTAAAGATAAATTCAAAAAGAAAGTTGGGTTTAAAGATACAACTAATAATACTTGGGTTTAAAAATAAAGCCAGGTAAACAAATGGACCTAAAAACAAAAAACCCTTTTTATTATTATGATTTGTTGGACTAATATGTAAGAGCCCCTTATTGATTATATACTTAAACATTCTTCTTCTTTATTTTTATCCAAGTTGTTCACAATTGTAAAGCTTGTCAAATTCTGCTATTTTTTCTTTTATTTTTTTATTTTTTATTCAAAGGATAATTTATCGGAACATTATAAGTGACAAGTAACAGCTAGAACATGTACCAATATTTTGTCTGATTTTATGTCCACATGAACTTATGAACAATATCATGGCAATTGCAAAAGCTATCCATTTTAAAGGGAGCATAGGGGGGGGGGGGGGGGGGGGGGGGGGGGGGGGGGTGAGGGGGCGGTGGGGGGGGCGGGGGGGGTGGGGGGGGGGGAAACCAAAAGAAAGACGTCCAAAAAGAGAAAACAGCAAAGATTAAGATTTGGATTCATGCGTTGAAACAACGCGAATGCATTAAATCATAATATTAAGGGCAAGTTTAAAATCGAACCTGCGTTCGTTCGAAGGGGTTTAATATTTTCAAATCAGTCCCTTAGTTATTGATATTGCTGCAAGGTCCCTTGACTCTTCTGACTCCTGCAGAATTAGTCCCTCAAGTTATCGAAATTGCCACGGAACCCATATCAACCAAGAAACCGACATAATTAAATACGCATAAAGTATTAGTGACCCGTAAAAATGTTTACGTGACCCCACCACACTAATTATCGATAAATTAAATTAAAGAAAACCGGACTCTACCCCGCTTAAATAGATCTCATAATCCCAATTCCCCCACCCCACCCCTAAATCAGTTTTTTTGGGGTGGGGGGGTGGGGGGGGGGGGACACAGGTTGAATACCAAATTGCTTCCTACTTATGTCTCAACAGCTGAGAACACCCCCATCTCACCGGGAGTTCTGATAGGAGTAGATCCCATAGATGACCTTTCAAAGAAGATGATGGAGACTAGGAAACATAAGATCAATCCTTTAATTTATTCTTTTTTAAAGATACATTGATTCT